TCATTCGTGCTTGCCTGTGTGCTTTCAGGTTGCCTGGTGCCGTGCCCCGGCGGGGCTGCGATCGCTCCCCAGCATCCACGGCACACCGGCGCCGCGGCACGGAGGCCCTGCCAGTGCTGTTGGGAGCATTGAGGTCTCCTTAGCGGCACCAGACCGGCGGGTAGAATGCAGTGAGTCTGGACGCGTACTGCACGTTTCGGGAAGGGCTCGGTGCTTGCAGTGGGCTGGCAGTGGAGCCACGGGCTGGTGAGCCCCGAGTTGGTAATCCTGTGTATGTTACAGTGGTAGGTGAGCAGATGGAGAAACAAATTAACGAATCCATAAACCTTTGGTGTTAACTGACACAGCTGCATGTCTTCAGGATTGGGGTAATTGTTTAGGCTGAATATTTCTTATAGTTGATGGTGAAAGACGGTGAATTTGTCATATTACTCAGATTTACTGATTGAACAAGCGTTCAGTTCCCAGAGTAATCTTTAAACTGTGATTGGGCCAGGAGGACTTCCTAGGTAGCATGTTCGTTCCACAGCAGTCAGGATGATGGGAAACACTGCAGTCTCTTACCAGTATTACTAATATGGAGATATAATGCAATATCAGATACAAATGTCCTTTTCTTTATTCTTTCCCGTATTTTTCTTCTGCCCTAGTGGGTCATATGCCAGCATTTTGAAGGCCATGGTCATTTAGGCAGGTAAATGGATTGAAATCGCTCTTTAGAAGCACTAGATGTGCATACCACAAGATGGTGACAGTGGCAGGCACCTGATGTACAGATCAGGGAGCATGATGTCAAAAAGGATCATGTCTGCCCCCTTGCTCAGAGCACTCTGAAATCAGCCATTGGGTTGATGGGAACTTCTGTCTATAAATGGAATGTTGCAGCAGCTTCAGGAGCTTGGAGGTATAGGCAATGCCGTTGATCCAAAACTTCTTTTTTTTTCAGAATTGTTTCTTTTATGTTAAATTCTAACTAAATGGCTGCTGTGCTTTAATACTTGTAGGTGGCACAGGCCTTACAAATTATGTGTGAAAGCAAGGGTCCTGTCATAAACACTTCTGGGAGGACTTGCTGTTCCTGGCTTTTGCAAGTTCCGAACTCAGAAGATTGCTGACTTTCTTACATGAGGATTACTGCAGTCTTCAACACTTCCCCACTGGATAGATCCAGCAGTTGCACCAAAAGGAGCATGTAGCTTCCGAAACTAAACTAAGTCTCTCTCTTTTTTTTTCTTTTTTTTAAATTTTATTTTATTTATTACAAGATTCTTTTGAAGGAAAGATACATTTTGGCCACCAGCAGCTGCCACCCATAGAAATGACTAGCTGTCAAAGGCCTTTTGAATCATCTCTTTAATGGTTTTGTCTTCAGTGAGACTCTTCCACACTGTGTTAGTTGAATTAGCATGACCCACTGTCCTGTCTTAAGATTAGCATATCTGCAGATGTGGAACGACAATAATGTGAATAATACTCTAAACTGCTGCATATGTAAGTTGGTGTATAAGCCATGTAATATGAATCCCTGTCTCTGATGTTACTTCTCATATTGACAGAAACAGAATCACGGAATCACTAAGGTTGGAAAAGACCTTTAAAATCATCAAGTCCAACTGTCAACCCAACACCACCATGCCCATTAAACCATATCCCAAAGAGCCACGCCTACACGTTTTCTGAACACTTCCAGTGATGGCGACTCCACCACCTCCCTGGGCAGCCTGTTCCAATGCTTGACCACTCTCCCAGTGAATAAATTTTTCCTAACATCTAGTCTAAACCTGCCCTGGTACAACTTGAGGCCATTTCCTCTCGTCCTATCACTAGTTACTTGCGAGAAGAGACCAACACCCTCGTTGCCACAACCCCCTTTCAGGTAGTTGTAGAGAGCGATAAGGTCTCCTCTCAGCCTTCTCTTCTCCAAACTGAGCAAC